TTGTTCTATACATCTAGCTACAACACAGGATGTAGGTACTGTTGTTCTATACATCTAGCTACAACACAGGATGTAGGTACTGTTGTTCTATACATCTAGCTACAACACAAGATGTAGGTACTGTTGTTCTATACATCTAGCTACAACACAGGATGTAGATACTGTTGTTTTATACATCTAGCTACAACACAAGATGTAGGTACTGTTGTTCTATATATCTAGCTACAACACAAGATGTAGATACCGTTGTTTTATACACTATAGCTACAACACAAGATGTAGGTACTGTTGTTTTATATATCTAGCTACAACACAAGATGTAGATACTGTTGTTCTATACATCTAGGCATGATATAAAGATAAGAAGTTAAAACTGCTGTAATACACACAAAGTGTAGCTCAACATGTATTTTGGCAACATTTTAATTATCAAAAGATGTATAGGTGCATTACTACATACAGGATTATGGCCTCATGACTTATCTAAACCATTACTTGGCTAAAAACCTGTGTGTGTGTCCACTTATAACATGCAAACCACTGGTTCAAATCTCACCAAACCTGGCATGTACTTATCTAAACCATTAGTTAACTAAAACCTGTGTGTGTGTCCACTTATAACATGCAAACCACTGGTTCAAATCTCACCAAATCTGGCGTGTACTTATCTAAACCATTAGTTAACTAAAACTTGTGTGTGTGTGTGTCCACTTATAACATGCAAACCACTGGTTCAAATCTCACCAAATCTGGCGTGTACCCCTTATGCCTTTCCTCTTGCATTGAGGAAGTGTGTCAACTGGTTTGAGGAAGTATGTCAACTGGTTTCTCTACAAATAATTAAGAGAGACTGTATAACTCCCTCGACTTTTTGTTTCAGTTATGAAGAAATTAATGATTTCTATCAGCAATCATTATGAAACTACTTACATCCACTAAAAGACAATAAATTATGTTAAAACATGTAACATCTTAAATACATGTGATTAACTTATTACACCCTCTTACCATTCTCTTGGAGTAAGCAGTAGAAACATAAAAACAAAATAATGTGTACTTCTTACCCTATATGCTTGTACCCTTCTGTCTCGTTTTCTCACAAAGGCTACAAGTTGCTTGAGACGTAACGAAAGGAAAATCACAATATCAGTAATCAATATAAACACTAAGTACTTAAATTTGTTTGACATACACAAATCTACAAATAAAATGAATACAAAAACGAGATAAACTTCTATTTTGATTCCTGTTCTTAAGCTCAAAGCCATGCAATGGGCCATCTGTGTTATGCCAGTTGTAGATAATGTGGAAAATCACAATATCAGTAATAAATATAAACACTAAGTACTTAAATTTGTTTGACATACACAAATCTACAAATAAAATGAATACAAAAACGAGATAAACTTCTATTTTGATTCCTGTTCTTAAGCTCAAAGCCCTGCAATGGGCTATCTGTGTTATGCCAATTGTAGATAATGTAGAAAATTACAATACCAAATTTCTGTGTTTGTGAATTTCAAGCCACCAAGTGGTAGATCCTAAAAATATTTAGGACATTTGTATTCATATAAAGCACTTGAGAGATACAATAATTAAACCTGAAAAAGTGTCATAAAAACCAATTAGATCTAGATGTTCCTCACAAATGTAAAATTAACAATATATAACACCTAAACTGTATTTTAAAAAATCTATCATTCGAGGCAGTATTACTAAACTTTAAAACAATTACTAAACTTTAAAATAAACCAAAGATTTAAATCTCATTAAATAATTAGACAACTTAAGTTAAGACAAACTTCTTCATTGTTTAAAGAATAAATTAAAAACAGATACTATGAATTGGAAACATGTATAGATTAATAAATATCTTTTAAAATGTAAATATT